TCGAGTCAGCTATCCGCGTAGGCTGGGCAAAATGTTTTACAAGATGGGCTTCGTTTGTCATTTCTAACAACGTATTCTCCGTCTCAGAGGCAGGGCCTTCGATGATTAGGTGAGACTAGTTGCTATGTGGGCCATTGAAGTCACCGACAATGCAGACCCGCATTCTTCTGGCATACTTTGTGACTGTAGTCAACTGTTGGCTTGAGGACTTCGGTATATAACACCTATGGTTGTGGTTGCACCACTACCAGCCTTGACCAACACCCAGAGTTGTTCAACCCAGTTTTCTTCCGTGCGTGTGCGTTCTAACAGTGTTACAGCTAGTCCATCAGTCGCATATATCAAGACACCTCCATGTATCCTATCGTTACGGTCGCAACGGAACACTCGGTAACCAGGCACATTGATCTCACTTTCCTTCACGGATTCAAATAGCCAGGTCTCTGTCACCGCAACAATCGCAGGGCGCTTCTGTGTGATAATTTCATGTAGTTCAGCCAGTTTGTTGGGCAGACTTTGTGCATTTATCAGTAGAATGCCTACAACTCTATCAGAGCTTCTTGGGCTATTATTAGCAATGGTTTGAACAGGGGTCTCCTCTTCTGGACAACCCGAAAATTTATTATGCGTAGGTTTTTCTTCCCCCCGACACGACGTTCTTTGAGTTCTTCAACTGTTTTATGCTGTTTTATCCTGTTCTCAGGAGACAGATCTGCCCGCATCAAGATATTGATGCCTTCAAGTCTCCAACCACGGGTCAGCAGTGTTTTTGGAATGCGGTCGGACTCGAAAACCGCCTTCAGTGGTTTAGGCCGTCCGCCTTCTGTAGGTTTTGTACCTAGTCTAAAAAGGCTTACAATCGATAGCTGTCCATCACTTGGGTCCAGCATTTTTAGGGTGATTTTTGCTATTTCCTTAGAGTCGTGTTGAACACGTGTTTCTGCATCTACTCCTTCGGATTCGGGCACATGAAAGCAGAGAAGTGCTTTCTTTCTATCAGTTGGGTCGTTTTTTGCTTTTGACGCCTTAGATGCAGGAACCTTCGAAGTAGAAACCTTCGGCACACCCTGCAGCTTGGCTCTCTTGTTTGTGGGTTTCGGCGTGTTCCACCTCGCATGTTTTATCGATAACTGTAGCAGGAAGCACGAGAGGTGGGTCTCCACGTTCCAGATTTTGTTTTGGGGCCTTCGCCGGTACCATTATCGTATCTGGCATCGCCGCATCTGAATTTGTCGCATCTAGTTCGAGGACGTTGTCTTCGTCTGCTGTATCGGTGTGGGTGTCCGCAGTGTCCTCGCCAAGGATACTATTTTTGCACGCGTTGCCAAAGGGAACGAGCCATTCTGAGTCGTATTTTTTCAAGACTTCGTAGATTTCAGGGGCTATTTTTGCACATTTTATGTGCACCCATTGTTTACATAAGGCGCAGAGAACGGCCTTGATCCTGGCAGTAACATTATTGCTACACTTGGTGCATTTGGAATTCGGCATATTTCCAAATAAAACGATGTTTACGGAGATGAAATGTGCAATAAATACAGTGACTAGGAATCGTTACTTCTCTTGTTAGATCGATTTATATAAATCTTCGAGGGCTACTCATGCTTTTCCTAGCTTCTTTATGTGCCATTTATTAACCAGCTTATTGAGTAGGCTAGTCTTCATGCTCTGCTGTTTCAACATTCGTCTCGTTGTTGTGGGCGTTTTCAATTTTTCAACAGCATTTTCATTGGAGAAATCCGGGGCCCATTTTGGCTTTTTTATAGTATCAAACGGTGATTACTCCAGCTGCAATAAGGCATTTATAAATTCTTCAAATGAACTATAACCCGTATTTGGAGTACGCATGAAGAGAAGTCTGCTACAAGTGGTCCGAGTCTTAGTCAGTATGGAGTTAAGTCCGTGTAATTAATCCTTGGTGCAATTGCTATTTGAGCCAGTTAAGGTTTATTTAGCGAGAGTACTTAACCAATTTCTTTGAAAACGAAATTTTTTACAGGGCGGTGAGTCTATTTAATCGAAAAAAGGGTCTTAGTGGGATAATCACACTCTATTGCTACCGCAATTTTGACTGGTGTCCTTCAGGGTACCGTGCTATAAATAAATAAATAAATTTTATATTTTAGGCCCGAAAAAGGTAAATTTTGTGTCCGTGATCTAACGATGGTGTATGGAATGTATGATCGTCATTCTCGTTCGTCCATGTTTCACTGGCGTAACGTCTGCCATTTGGCATCGTCTGTCAGTCAGTATGTTTGAGGAAAAAATAGGCTTGCGCCTTTGAACTCCCTATTTGCCACATCAAAATCTTAAGAATTATGAACAATGTCAACAAGTTTTCAGTCAGAAAAATATAGACCGTCACATGGTGCAGTGGTGTTT